TGAAGTAATTTGGAAACTGCTTCAATGCTACAGAATACCGCAAACCTTTGTCAGCCTCATTCAACAACTATATGAAAACGCCTCATGCCGAGTAATTCACACTGAGAAGGTCAGTGATGCCTTTTGAGGTAAAGACAGGAGTAAAACAAGACTGTCTACTATCACCCATGATATTCCTGATTGTGGTGGACTGGATCATGCAGCAAACAGTGAGGAGCGAGAAGAGGGAGATACAATGGCTGGACCGCAGAAAAGAACGTGGAAGACTTGGATTTCGCCAATGATGACTTGTGTCTGATGTCACATAAGCTTGAAGATCTACAGGCGAAAACTAACAAGTTGACAGAAGAGACGGGGTAGCGAAGACGAGACTTCAAGTGAACGTCGGGAAGACAGGTGGAGGTGATGAAGATACCCAACCAACAACAACAACAAGAAGCTCCAATCACCATCAACGGGAGAAACTGAAAGGAAGTAACCTCCTTCACCTATCTAGGCAGCACTGTTTCAAATACAGGCGGTGGGGGCACAGACGAGGACGTCAAAGCAGCCAGGATCGGAAAGACAGCAAGACAGGCGTTCATTAGCCTGAAATCAGTGTGGAGATCTTCTGCACTCAACTCAGCATAAAACATGAACATGATACGAATTTTCAACACGAACGTGAAGTCAGTGCTTCTGTGTGATTGTTGAGAGACTTGGCGTGTTACGAAAGTGATTTCCAACAAACTACAGACATTCATCAACAACTGCCACCCATGCTGGCTCGTTACTGAAGCTCAGATGGCCAGAATAACAAGAATAAGCCAGAAGGAACTCACTGTGGCTGGTGACGAACCAACCAAGAAGCTATCACTGAACAAATATGTAGTAGAAGGAAGTGGAGATGGACTGGATTGGATTGGATTGGGCATACACTGAGAAGGCCGACTGTGGACATCACGCGTCATGCCAGACCCTCGAGTGGAACTCCGATGGGAAGCGACAAGTTGGGTGTTCGAGGTGAGGGTGACATGGAGGAGATTGTGTGAGGAGGAAATGAGGGATTGTGGGCTATCGTGGAGCCAGGTTGAAAAGACTGCAGGGAAGAGAGTGGAATGGCGACGTGCTACTGAAGCCCTATGTTCCATTAGGTACCCAGGGGACAAGTAATAATTGAATAATACATTGTTTTATTTCATTCTCGTCTCCCTTTACGACTCTCTACTACTTCTGGTTATTTTCTACTCTATCTCTTTTTTGTTTCTTTCGACGTTGGTATTTTCATGTGATACGTAACAACACAAACTGTTACGCAGCACTTGCAGATCTCACATTGATGCTGACTGACAAGTTATGATGCCTGTACAGATTTTATGAAACTGGGAATTAAAAACAGCAAAATCTAAAAAAGTAGATACACGGAAGGAAAGTGTTTACTCTAGGTTTCATTTATAGTGAAATTTTACCTTATGAAACTATATCAACCGCATTATCAAAGGTAAATAGGTGCATCCATTATGCATTTCAAAAGTAATTCTTAGGGAATGACCTATTGTTAGTCATAGATGATTTATTTCGCTGAAATGTTTTGACGCATACAATCCACGCCTTTGATAAGTAACATATTGCAAAGTGATAACATTATGCTACCTTTCTATTCAGAATTTTGTGACTTTCACTTTGGAAATGAAGTGGGTAATTTATTATCTGACAGTTGTTAATGAGAAAGCCTTAAAGTAGCGGTAGAAGATATCTTAGCACAATGGTATGGTGTCTGCGTTCAAACCACGATTAAATCATCCACGTCTGCCAACATAACACTTAAATGAGCGATGAAGAGAGACCTTGTACTTCGATTCGAACATGATACCCAAAACCATTTTGAACGCTTATGTTGAGTGTCCTTCAACAAAATTTCTGCAATCTAATGCAGGTTTATTTGCTATTCTGTGTCAGCTACACAATTTCTAGACTTCCGATACTACGTAGTTATCTGAAAAGATAGTTTTATCGGGTTAGTATCTGTTAGTGCATCACGACTTTGGGTGGGTGGGGTCCAAGAGGTCACAACTCAGACGTTATCAGATGTGACTCAGAATCGAAACCAGTGACAGTCATGCTGTAGCTTCTTTCTATCTTCTGCTGCTGAAAAGTACTGATTGTTTCTTTTGGAATGTACCTCAACTAGCTGCCCCTCTAATCATTCTATTCTTATTGTGTTTTATTTTTGTCTACATCCTTTCGCTTTTTGTTTTCATAATGTTATATTATTTTGTGTGCCGCACTTCTTGGTACCCTTGCTGTACCACTTTTGTATTCTAATAGTAATAATCATAAACGTAGCTATCTGAGTCGAAGTAGGCGGGATGGGAACTAATCCTGATACCCGTTGTTTGAACGTTAAATAACCAAAAAGTTACATCTCAGGAATTGTTTTCCATCTTGTAAGAATGTTTCAATACGGTTTACTAAGTGTTTTAATTTTCGGCTCATTGGTAATAAGCATTTGTCTTTAATCTGTTCGATCATGGCTTTTGAAGCTCATTTGGTCTACTGAGTTTCCGTTGCTATCGTCAACATATGCTTGCATATGACTGTACTTTTATTCACTTGCAACACCCCAAGATATCCTTCTTTGTTATCACACTCAACTGATAATACAAGACCAACTGGATGACTTCAAGCTTCATTTTCTTCCTAATTTATTAATTATTCACAAACAGGTACAATTAGTAGTAATAATACTGACTGTAAAAATTATGGTTTGCAAATTATTTTATCAGTATTTTGTGTTGTCCACATTTTAGTTTTATTGTGTTTATCTCACAGCCCCATGTGTTTGCCACAACTGATTAGCTTCATATGTGCGTATACGCATAGATAGGCATGCGAAAATGACTCATGACTCGCTGCACCAGTTGTAAGTTTTCTATCACTAGTTTTCTTTGCATACACGTTTATGGAGTTTTTGTCTGTCTGCTACACTAGAAATATTAGTCCAAAAACGAGAACGTACAGGATTTTTGTTTGTGTAGCGATTGGATTCGCTCCCATCCATATCTCCTACCTAACCATTTCATCAGCCTAATCCTAAAAACTTGGATAAACTATTGCATGCATGCTTTACATATCACTTAGTTGAGTATCGAAGTGTTTGAACTGAAGCATACTCTATTTATATGAACGGATGATTATAAAGTTTTCTGTTAGTTTTTCTTTGCATTCCTAAGATTGCTGTAAATGCTGAGCAAGCGTTAGAAAAAAGTCACTAAACGCAAGTAGGTAGACTGACTTCTCAGTATTTGGTTTGATTCCCCCAAAAGTCATGAAATTAGAGAACATGGATGACATTTTCCTATTAGAGTGAAGGTGCTGAACAAACCTTATGAACACGTAACTATGAGAATATTCCGGATGAATTACTCAATCCTATAGCAATAAGCTTTGTTTTTTAACTGATCTTCAGCGTTTACCTTTCATATGATATAATGCATCCAGGTTCAAGTAGACGGCGAATCCCACCTGTTTTTAGACTACTAGTGATATTACCTGGCTATCCAGACCTCGGTAATTGGAACAAAGATCGGAACCATGACCCAGTATTTAAGAGTTAAGAGCTAATACTAATAAGCTACAACTCTTTGACAGCGGAGGGCGAAATGATTAGGTTCGTTGATGACTACGCTTACTTGATAGGCCCAGTTCGGGTTTGTAACTTGACTGGATCTCGAAACGTGCACTAAATCCATGTTTCACTTCTGCAAGCTTATGCCGTCTGTGTTAAATCCCCGGTCTGCGATTGTAATGAGCAATGATACTCACCTGTGTACTTACATTAACCCTGGCCAACTAGTAACAAATTCTCAAAGATACAGAAAATTGAGTCAAAAGCGCCTCAAGTATGCCACTGTCAGCTCAGCTGGAGTATTCAAACATCCAACCTTTAGACAGTATACACCTCAGCAGTGTATTTCGGCGTACTATGTAGTTGTAAGAAACGAAGAGACAGCAAATATATTCAAACTTCGGTGTGATTTAACCACCAAATAAACAATTTTGAAGTTAGAAGTTTTCTGTAAAGGAATGATGTGGTGTGAAGTGTGCAGTATATTGTGACACTCATGGAATGTTACAAATACCCAGTAATTGCTGCCTGCTTAAAGCTGTCATGTTAAGGTAAAATAATTGTAGGGATGATAGTGTCGGGCTGACAAATTGTGTCGATGCTCAAAAAAAGCGGAGCATTGTTAGTTGCTAGTTGAAATTTTCCAAGGAGCTGCTTTCTAGGTAAATGAATTCAATGAGGTCATAGCAGCTTGTAGTTGAAAACATAAATTAACATACTTGAAAATATGTAGTAGTGCCTCAAGTACAGTACTGTCTTAATTTGAGTATTCGTATTATTTTATTCATTTATCTTCTTGATTCCTTTTCCTTATATCTCCCTGTTGTCTTCCCTGTCTATGTGTAGACCACCCGTAGCCCAGTTGCATAAGTTTGTATGACTGTTATGACTGTGTTATTCTCTCCATTGCTTCTGTTCCTTTTCTGATCGATATTTTTTTAGCATTATAGATATATTGCTCTTTTTGGAGCTGTGGGCCATTAGTTTAGGCATTCGATTTTAAATCAGAGAACCACGGGATTGGAGCACCATTTCACTCATCAAAGCCTGTTCAATCAGTTGGTTGCTATCATCAACGCTCATTCAGTGGATTAGCTCATTACTCAGTGCATAGACATACACGTGGTTACTGAGTGAATTTCGATTTTTGTATTTTTTTTTACGGTGGTGCATTGTTGAAAATGTTGCAGTAGCTATTCCACCATTTGTGTATATGTGCAGACTGTCAAATCAACTCGAATATCACCAAGCATCCTTAGAGGAAGTAATGTGTGAATTCGCTGTTTGCTTTTTGTTACTAATATCTAGTGTTGTGATTGTTGGAAAAGAATCACATTTATGATAAGCATATTTAACGCCTAATACTTACTTTACCTCTGTTCTTTCTCATCAGATGGGGTGGTATTGGGGACCACTGAGTTTTCAAGAAGCTCAGTTTCTGTTAGCCAAACGACCAGATGGTAGTTTTCTGGTCCGTGATAGCGGTCATGATACTCATATTTTAAGCTTAAGTTTCCGAGTACGTGGCGAAACGTATCATACAAGAATTGAACATAATCAAGGTAAGTTTTGCTGGTTAATTATTCTGAACATTTTTCACACTAATACCATATGGAAGTATTTAAAAGCCGTTAGGTTGTTTCTTATAGACTTTGAGACTGAAAGCTGAACAGTATGTATTCATCATCACCAGCTTTGCATATATTTCAGACAGAAGACATTTATACAGCAGCTGAATCAGGCTAACTGCCGTAAAAGTCAGTGTGACAAGATGAAGACATACTTGATCGTATTTCCTTGAGCTTATTTTCATCCTATTTTTTATCATAAAAACGCGAAGCAATTCAGACTTCCAGTAACTTGATTTCAAGCTGTATTTCATAACAGTTCAAAGCATTAGCCTATCTAGTCTTTTACCGCTTGTATGAAGCAATTAGGTAATCACATTTTCCTATAAACTGACCATCTTTTCGTCTCTTATAGTCCTAGACTCATCAGTTAGTGCATGGTTTTGATAACTGTAAACCATCGATTATGGTGACTTCGCTAAAACTGAATGGTTTTCGTCGCATTTGAACACCACACCTAGTTTTCTGTTCTTCAAATTTCGCTCCTGTCAGTGACCTTAATTTCAATCAACAGCAGTTTTTGGCTTGAAATACCTTTCACGGTTTTAAGCATTTTCTGGATACTGAAGACACTATCAACGATACGTGTTGTAGTAAAGATGCATTTGTTATTTGTCTTACTTTTACTGGATGCCTTGTCAACAACGGTTTACAAGGTGACGTAATAGGCTGTAATACAATTTGTGGAAAATCAATGAATCTACCTAGCTGCTACCGTGGTTCGAACTTCTAACCCACTTTTTGGAAGTCCTATTTCCAAACCACAAATTCACAAACTTGTTTATTTTTCATGTAGTGATCTTAGTGTCAGTTATTCACCTCTCACAGTACGTCAATTTCTCTCTCACTGTTTTCTCTTGAAGTGTGTGACAATTTGAACCAATGAAACCATATGCCAAATTCCAACATTCTTTTCCAGTGTCTTAGTTTCTTGTCGTTTGAATTTTTTTATTAAAAACCCACTTATTTCCTCAGGCATAATGTTGACATTATCTATTCCCTCTTTAAGCTGATTGCGTATGCCAAAATTTCGTTCTCTTCATAATCCTATCGCGTCGCGTATATATTAGGAGCGTTGTTGTTTCAGGTATAAGGTATTTTATTTATTTGATTGTCTCTCTCACACTAGCACGTAATTTTTCATGGTAGAGAGAGCGTACGCAGGTTCATGTTGTTAATTTTTTGCTTTCTATTTAGTGAAAATATTGATTGATTCATCCATTACTAAACCACACTGGTTATACGCACATGCACATCACACATACAGTAGTACATCTATATACACATATGGTGGTGGTACGTTTACTCATAGACTACTTTATATATATATATATATATATATATATATATATATATATATATATATATATATATATATATCTTTACGTCGTTTGACTAGTATTTTAATTTGGCTTACAGCCAAATTACTTTGTGCTTAATTTTTCAATAGCATATAGTGTGTGCCGTGTGTTTGAACAATGTATATGTATTGGTGTGACTACATCGGTATGTACGCTTCAGGCTGTCTGTCTATCTACTTTATTTACGTTACGCTGTCACCACACGAAGTCTGCATCCGTGTGAATACAGATACTATCAATATAAGGCTGCATATGTGTTTTCATTTAATCTGGTGAATTACATATTAGCTGTTTGCTTGTTGAATATTATTGTTGTTGTATCCGTATGCAACATGAAATTTCGGACTTACAATTATACATTATTCATAAACCTTAACTACTAATAAGTTCAATCGACTACTGTTTCATAATATACGTAAGATTGAGGCTGAAAAGTTTGCTTGCCAAAACTAGGCTAAGCAACTGAGAGAAATGTCTAGGTTTTCCTACTTCAAAGCATCTCCTAAACCAAAATGTTTCTCATCATTAATTTGTCCCATCGGCTGAGACTTCGGTGTTTAGTATGTAACTTTATCTTCTTTTGAACTTCGCACTTTTTACGGATTTTGGTTTAAAACACAATCTTGGTACAAGAAATGCTTCATACTAAATAACAACAACACTAAGGTGTGGAAGGAGGTAGAGAAAAGAGAGAAGTAAACATCGAATTGGATTGTTAAAGAAGCAGTCTCAAGGATATATTCAAATAGGCTTTTGTTGTCTCCATTTTACGGAGACGATAGTGATCGAAAATACAGTTATTGAATATCTTCAGCTAGGGGAAACCAGGTTGCACAGGCGTGTAGAAGGTAACTACCCAAACTGACTCATAATAAATTCCAAATTTTACAACAAGGCTAACGTAGTGACAGCCCTAAAAGTGACCCAGATTGTTGTATGCTGCTCTCACTGTCGATATATGGTTAGAAATATCAGTCACACCACCAGCATTCATACTACCAGCTACGTACACAAGCTTTGCATTTACATAGAGTGGTTCACTAACCGTGAATGCAGACACAAGCTCCTGCCAGTTTTACGAAAACATTTAGCATTTTGACGATGAGAAGTATTTCACACTTACGCATACTAACCACCAACTGACCATGTGCGATCTGAACAGATTGTATGTTCTTCCACAGTAAAACTATACCGTTCGCATTCCCATGATCAAAACTTCTTTCACCTACAAGCAGGTCTACTACAATACAAGAAGTACCTTCTTCAAAGCCTTCTTAGAATATCATGGATGGCGAAGTTGAAGAGGAATGGCGAAATAGTATAGTCATATCCAACTGTATTGCTCGTTCGAAACAGTAGAACATGGTGGTGGTGGTGGTGGTGGTTGTTGTTGTCTGTCCTCACCCTACCTAGAATGTTTCTGCACAGAGTTAGTTCCTTGGGTACTGATAAACGCTAATATCAGGAAATGCGGTGATTGTTTGTCTGCAGTACACGTGATGGGGTTCAAGTATCATCAGACAGAGGGTGAAGACGAGATGAATGCATCGCATCAAGAAGATGGACGAGAGTCGGTGTGCTGTTGACGGATTAAGTGTTCACGTATTTTGAGGAGAATGGGTAGTATGTTGGTAGCCAGTATTTTGACGATTTTGGTAACAGACAGTTATGCCGATGGTTGTCGTCGTATACTTTAGGTAGAATTCGAATGATTTAATTGACTTGGTCAACAGATATCCGACTTCGTTGATAGTTGAAGATGTTATTGAAAGTGTTCACAAGTTTGTTTTATGCATATCTTTGAAACCCATTTCGAAAATCTGTTGGGAGCAAATAATTGGGTTTTTTGAAGTTCTAGCGATAAGGAAAGTGTGTCTGCTTTTACATGTTGTTACACTAAACCTCCTTTGCGATCTCAGTTTTAATAACAAGAATAATTTATATATTATTTTCCTCTTTCCATATCTGAATTGACCTCTAGACCAACATTTTGACCATTTGTTATATCAACTATTTTTAAACCCGTTTATTTTTTTTTGTATTTCATACAAAATATTCATAAAAACCAAGTATGTGACCATACTGTTCGAAATCTATTGTACTAATTGATCATAGTATTCAAATGGACTGTACCTTTTTATTGCTTTTTCGAAAATTTTAAAGTGGACCTACTTTTTCAAGATCCTTGTATAGATGCGTTATAACAGTAACCTTATTACAGAGTGATGAAACACTCAGTCTGCCATACCTTCTCAAGCAGTCTGTTCAGTATCTTGACTACAGTTCTACCTCCATTCTTCAAAAGAGTCAAAAGTTGTCTGGGCCGAATACTTCATATTTCTTTACTTCCGAGAGTTCCTTACGGACCTTAGCTTCGTAAGGCGGATTGATGTTAACCAACTTTGGAACCAAAGAAGCTGAAGTCGGCGTTACTCAGCAGTAGACCAGCCAAACTGTTTTTCGTACTGATCTAACTAGTTTTCCATGGAGGTTGTTCGACCGCATACCTTCTTCAAAAACAGTCTGACTGACTCCAGGCTTTTTGCCAGTGGCGACTAAGATGAGTTGAAATAGGTTTCTACTGTCGCTAAATGCAGCCGCTATTTCCATCTCACTTGAGCGTCTTGACTACCAAGCTTCACAGTCGTTACGCAAATCCTGCATGGTTTGTCGCGTTAAGGATTGATCAATTAGTATGTCAAGCCGAGGCATACATCATTGACGTTACTTAAGCTAAGTATGATTCAGGGGCCTCAGTAGTTCTGTTGACCGTTTAAAATGCTAAGTATTAGGAAACGAGTTATCCCATTAACTTCTTGATATCTAATCGCATCACATTTAAGTATATAGCTTCTATCTAGTGAAAGAAAAAACAAAGCCTGTTAGTTTAAATGTCCTAATCGTTGCCTTGTAACTTTTTTTGACAGGTCGATTTAGTTTCTGGTCCCAACCTCAGTCACATAGTGCAAACACAATGGTGGAATTTATTGAAAAGGCTGTCGCTCATTCAGTCAACGGTCAATTCCATTATTTTCTTCAAAGTAGCGCCCATGGTCAACCCCCAGTTGAAGTACCATTATTATATCCACTCTCCCGCTTTCAAGTAAGTTAAGTGGTGTTAGATTAATTTAGACTACCTAAAACAATTTATTTTTCCATTGGCAATGTTTTTGCCTAGAAATAATTGATATCAATGAAGATATATACAAGGTGAAATTGACTGTTGTACCTTTTTCTTCAGTTTCTTACATGATTGCTCCACAGTTTTGATTGGAAATAATCTGTACATATTTCGATGACCCACTTTCCCGGTATATGTATGCTTTGTCAACTAGCATAGCTCAAAAGCTCCCACGATAATGCATCAATTCAACTTACCATATGCTTTGTAACAACACAGAGATCATGTGTTTGAAATTGTTCGTTGTACAAATTGATTTAATACTCAGTGAAAAGGTTCAAGTGATTTCTCTTGATTTCCTTATGGTTATACCGTACTATGTGCATTTGCGTAGTCGTTGTTGCAGTCTCACATGGCTCATCACTTTTGATGTAATAGGTCCACTTATCAACTAATAATACTGTCATATGTGAAATAGAATCAAGTGTGTGCGATAAATCCAGCTTATATCTCAACATTTGGTATTTTAACTGTTAGGGATGCATAATCCCTACGAAAAACTAACTTATGATAGGTATATATTATCATTTTAAAATTTAAACCTTATTTCCGCACCCTTTTAGCGTCATACAACGTTACTTATTTTTGACGCGGGTTAGGATACTACACACTGATTGGTCCATTTCACACTTAATATGCTATTTTTTCCCTAGCCATAGCCATCTAAGGATATATAAACGACTGCATTTTCAGCTATAAAATTATTCGGTTGAAGTAAATATACTTTCAACCCCCATTTTCCTTTGGTGTCAGATTAATATCGAATTGAGAAGTCATTGTTCTATCGTTAATCGTATCACATCAGAGGATTGCATCGATATACCTACCGTGGGTATAACACCATGGTTATATGGGCTTTTATTCTATTGGCTACAACTTCGTAACCGTCATTTTTGTACACAGTAAAACTACGTCTAATCAACTTTTCTCTCTGCCTCTTTTGCTCATCGACACTTTGACAATCACAGAAAGTGGTTATTGCCAAATATCAGTTTTCTCTTTACAGAGATTAATCAGTTAGTCATCTCTTTTAAATATCTAAATATATTCACTCTTTTGCAGAAATCATATTCCTATTCTTTTCTTTCATATGATGTCTTCTATTTATAACAACGTGTAATATATGTATATATATATATATATATATATATATATATATATATATATATATATATGCCTCTTATTTTTTACCGACACATTTTTGGCATCGTCTACACAATAAGCATTCTTACTTTATCTGAGTAGATATTTTATACTAATAGTATTTTATAAGGTGTGCAACAAACGCATTGTCGTCAAGCTTTTACATTGACTATTTCTAATCACTTATCCTTGAATAATATAGTGTGATTAGGAGAGGGAGAAAGTTCTAAATGAGAATCTATGATGTATTGTATACATACCCTTTCATTGCTGACTCAGTCGAGCATTTACGATAAGTACATGCATCCTGAGGCGATCTACGCGTGTACTTACATCTATTTAACCCGTCTCTTCTCACTAGTGGACATTCATCTGGACATACTCAGCAATATGTCACTTTAGCTCAACTATTTTGGTGTTTTGTTCTAGTGTAAAACGTGTTCTTTGTGTGTATGCATGCATGCATGTGGAATTTTCACTTTAATAATTTGTATACATATCATACATAAGTGTGTATACACACCTGTACAATTTCATTTGGCAAACATCCGAATGACAAACATTGTACCGATTAATGCCATGTGATCAATAAATCTTTCTATCGTATTTACTATGACTTTTAGTACCTTGTGTCTGTATACTTTTATGTGCTTGTTGTATGTCCCTCTTTCTTCATGCTGGAACAGAACATCTGCAGTTAATCCCAGTGTATATTTACATCTGGTTATGTGATGTTTTGCCTGATCGTTTGACTATGATGACGATGATCATCATTGGTACTGGTTGTTTGCAAAGTTTTGTCTCTCAAACAACTTATTAAACAATGATACTGTTTCAATCTATTGACCTTCAAGATGCCTATGTCTGTGGTTGTGCATCTGCATATTTGTTTTCAGGCTTGTAAACCTTTTTTATATCTCACTTACTCACTGGCATGCATTTATCCACATTGTGACTCACCATCGCGTTTTATTTTCTGACTGCGATGCAGAGAAATGCACCTAGAAAGAGGTCTGCGCTATCATTAATTAATATGGTTATTACTATTATCGCTGATGTTATGGTACCTGTATAGTTGTGATTTTATAACTTACAGAATATTTTGATAATTTGTCTCATTTATTTGTTTAGGCGCTAGAACAATATGTTTCGTCTACCTACACTACCAGTGTAATCATCGCTACTCGTAATCAGTAAATAACAGTAACTGGGATTCGTTGTGACACTATATATAAACACACCTTTTTAAAGCAACGTTATCCACCTCTGAATATTTCTTTAAAAATAGTAATCGATTAAAAGTCAATAGACAGACTGACATTGTCAAAGACCTGACATTACCAACTAACTGTTTGGATTGCGTCAATTACGTCAACATATAATAAGGGTGGAAAATGACAAGTGGGAAAACGAAGTAATATAGAATTTCCCTATAAGTTGCTACGGTCAAGAAACGAAAATAAAAGGCATTAAGGCGAATAACGAGTTTTAATATCGCAAAGATGATGAAAAGATTTGAGGGCTTCTGAACCACTTTAATCGACTTTCTATCATATCACGTAGTCTCCTACTGTCGGTGTCAGTTGTCTTATGTATGCTGACATGCAAATTCACGTTCCTCTGTGCCAGACAGACAGACAAAATCAACGTAGAACCTAGCACACAAGTTCATCAGTACAAGTTGCCACGCTTCACAATAGTATAAAAAGAACACATGGGTAGAAAGACTGTTATCAAAGTAGATGAGGTGTGTGCCTGGAGATTAAATCTAAAAATGAAGTTTATTCAAAGCATTCAGGTTTTAGAAGACACCAAAGAGTGAATACATCTGCACCACTATGACTGGTTTTCAGCCATATCACCAGCAGTCTTCTAACTTTCTTCTCAGAGACCCCAGCCAAATAGTCCTGACATAGCTCAGACCAACAGTCAGGGACTTCATGAACCGGCTACTACATCTTGGTTTGGTCACCCTGAACCTTCTTGCAGTCTAATCAAACTTCTAGCATTGGATGTCGAGGCAAGTAGGTGACTCGGCACGCATAACACATATCCAAGTCACTTCAGTTGAGGAATGTTCACAATTTCACCGACCGACTTTACTTTCTTTACTTTTACCTGGTCTCTGCATTCCTCATATTGTGATTTCATTGTACGCGAGCAAAGTTACAAGACACCTGTAAACGAAAACTTGTAACCGCTTCATGCCTACTTTTAACGACCATTTCTCATAGCCAGCCGTATGGTAGTACAGAACAAACTGCAGGACAGCACACGTATCCTGTTATGAGTAGTCGGATACCTCACCGGCGCCACAGATGCCAAATGGGCATTCTTTATCCCAGCTGAGATTTCGTCATCAGCTAGTCATCGCGCTGCCGATTAAGTCAAGTAGTCGACACATTCAACCACTGCACCCTATCCGAAAACGAGGTAGTTACAGACCAGTCCTTGGGCAGCATATAACATTTGACAGCTGCGAAACGCATGCCAAACAACTCACTGATAGTCAAAGACTTCGTGGTCTGGTTACCCGTAGCTTATTTTCAATCTGACCCTACTTTGGTTAACGTCGTGGTTCAAGGTACATGGTGACTCAACATATGGCACACACCCAAACAAACCACATCAGTCAGTGAATGTTCATAGCGTCATCATCTGACTTGCGTCCTATACTTAGTAGTTTACTTTTGAATTCACTCTTGCTTACTTTGTTTCCATCATAGGAAAGTTATACTACATAGACATATGACGAAATCCCATATCGTCCTCATGTCTTATGCTTTCAACGACCGTGTCAGCCATGCATTAGGATAGATCAGACTGCAGCATTGGATATTCGTCATTTGATTTGTAATCGGATATCTCACAGGCACAACAAATAGGATAATTTAAAAAATGTAAGACACTTTATTGTCTGAGCTGAAATTTTATAACAAATTAACCCATTACGGTGGATAATGTTTTTGAATACACACAAGGTGCATTCAAATGATAAAACTACAAGTTAGTGAAATCATAGATTTTACGATGGCTCACATTGTAAATTGGCATTAATTTAACTATAAGTTGGAAGGGGGAGGATTCAACGATACACACACTAATGCACTCTGGTTACGTGGATTCTATAGCGAAAGTTGTCCATTACAAGTGAAGACTTTGGAGAATTTGAATAGGCCAAAAACAAAATACTTATTGACGAACAATAATATCATTTTTTCTGCTAACCACAACCAACCAATTTATCAATATCATTACAGTTCACTAACTTCTCTGCAGATGCATACTAGCTTGCAAGGGTTCATTATTAGAACTGACTAAACATTTGCAAACTTTCCATTACTTTGCAATTCCAGTAATTAACTCTTATAGACTTGCCTGCAACTGTGCTTCATTTATTCAAGCTTTGGAAGACAAATAGTTGTGTGAAAATCCTTAGGTATTTTAGGACCTACTGCTCATCCCTGTTCAAGGTTAACTACAGGTTTTTCAACCACAGCAATACTTTAAAGTTCAATAGTGTTAGCATCTTCACTAGGCCACAACTGAACAGTTGTAGCCTCTTATGAATTACTAACCAGTTCTATTTTAGGTTTGTTGTCAGATATATCATAGGGGAATGAGATAGTTGTGCAGCGTTCCTCAATTTTCAAGGGTTGCTTGATTGATACCTGCTTGTAATGTGTATAAATTGTTGTTAACAGAACAAAGCTTGTCTGTTTCTCCATTTTTCATTTCACTATCATAATTAACTGTTGTTTGCGTAACTAACTAAAAGG